CACATTTACTAAATGCCATCATGGTAACACATGACAATAAAATGATGCAATTAACATTAATTTAGCAACATTAGATGTAACATAAAAATCTAATGTACATAACTGATATAGTGTAGCATAGTGTAAAGTAAGGAAACCTACTGTTAACCATTTACTATTTTTATTTACTGTAGCATTTTACAGGCTTTTACTGTTAAAATCACAATAATTTTTTTTACAGTGCAGGGTTTTCTGTTCATTGTAGTATAAATACACCTCTGTCTGGAAGCTCCAGAGCCTGGTGAGTCAGAATTGTGGCAGAAATTGAACCATGAAAAAAATAAATCCAACAAGTCAATGTAAAAATGGAAAAGCACAGGGCATGGATCCAATATGATTTCGAAGTCATTGATTGAATATTCCTTGGAGTACAGTTAAATCAATGATTAAAAAATGGAAAGTGACTGTGTAAGAAGGAGACAGCTGAGGGAGGCCACCAAGAGGCCCCTCTGAAGAGTTACTGGCTTCAGTGGCCGAGATTATAGAAACTGCTTACAACTGCTCCTTCGCCAGTCACAGCTTAATGAGTGAGTGGCAGAGTGGCAAAGAGAAAGCCACTGATAAAAATGTCATATGACATCTTGGCTGCATTTGCAAGAATACATTTTGGAGACTCTGAAGCCAGCTGGATGAAGGTTCTGTGGTCTGATGAGACCAAAATTGAGTTTTTTGGCCATCAGACTAAATGGCATGTCTGGTGTAAGCCGAACATCATCAGAAAAACACAACTCCAGCTGTGAAGCGTGGTGGCGGCAGTGGCGGCAGTGGCATCATGATGCGAGGATGCTTCTTTTCAGCAGACCCTAGATCGATTGAGAGAGTAAAATAAACAGGGAAATCATGGAGGAAAACGTGATGGAGTCTGCTGGACACCTGTGATTTGGGAGATCCGTCATGATAGTGCCTGCAAACATAAAGCCAAAGCTAGAGGAATGCCTTTAAAACAATGTTGATGTTTGGAGTGGCCAAGTCCATATCCAGATCTCAATCCAGTTGAAAATTTATGGCTGTCCACTCATGATCTCCATGCAACCTGACTGAGCCAGCTGCCACTTGGGCAAATCTGATAGAGACACATCTATACACAGACTTACCCATTAGGCAAAGGTAGGCGACCGCCTTGGGCCCCCAAAAGCCAAGGGCCCCCTAAAATGCTTTTCATATAGGATATGCGCATTAAGCGCGGACACGCGAACGTTTGCTGTTTACGGTGTTTATTACCACGACAACCGTCCGAGTCTGTGTCGTCTGCAGGTGTACGGCTGTATGCACTGTTAGTACCATGAGCGCTCAGACTGATATGAGATTTGCCCCGCAAACATTTCAGCAGTTATTATAGTGTCCCGTATTTCTGTCAACTGACTCACCAGACCTTAACCCCATAGAGAATCTATGGGGTATTGTCAAGAGGAAAATGAGAAACAAGAGACCAAAAAATGCAGATGAGCTGAAGGCCACTGTCAAAGAAACCTGGGCTTCCATACCACCTTAGTAGTGCCACAAACTGATCACCTCCATGCCACGCTGAATTGAGGCAGTAATTAAAGCAAAATGAGCCCCTACCAAGTATTGAGTACATGTGCAGTAAATGAACATACTTTCCAGAAGGCTAAAAATGTTTTTTTTATTGGTCTTAATAAGTATTCTAATTTGTTGAGATAGTTAATTGGTGGGTTTTTGTTAAATGTGAGCCAAAATCATCACAATTAAAAGAACCAAAGACTTAAACTACTTCAGTCTGTGTGCATTGAATTTATTTAATACACGAGTTTCACAATTTGAGTTGAATTACTGAAATAAATGAACTTTTCCACGACATTCTAATTTATTGAGATGCACCTGTAAATTTGTAGTTAAAACAACTAAAAATAAACGTATTTTAAAGTTTAGAATTAGACAGCCTTTGCACACAGGCTTACGCTGAAAACAACAAAATGGAACCTCAAGGTTGATCTAGGAAAATGTGTGCAAATGTATAGGGCCCCATTCCTATATTTTGCCTGGGGCCCCCAGTTCACTAAATCTGCCCCTGTCTATACAGACTCTATCGGTCTGTCTGTCTGTCTGTCTGTCTGTCTGTCGTTTCTCTGTCTGTCTGTCTGTCTGTCTGTTGTTCTATATATTGTTTTGTCTGTCGTTCTGTCAGTTCTTTCATTCTATATATTGTTATCTTGTTCTGTCAGTACTTTTGTTCTGTCTTTCTATTGTTCTGTCATTCTGTCTGTCTTTGAACAGGCTATGCCAAGCCAGTGTTATTTATTATTAACATTTTTTTGTGTGTCCTCAAGGTTATAATATGGTCTGCCTTGATCTGCTGACAACTGTATTGTATTCAGTAGCATGAAAGTGCTGTCAAACTTCAATTAAACCTTTCATTTATTGTCTCTGCATGACTGCAGATAGTTTTTACAACCTGAGGTCACTGTACTTTTATGCATCGTTCTCAGATAACAGACAGTCACTTAATTGGATCATAATTAAAGCTCATGTAATTCAGTTCCTAATGAGATTAGTCTTCCAGCACATCAGTTTTTCCAAGTTTATATGAGATGCTGATCAGGCGAGGCTCTAAATGGAATATACTTATCATGTTTATATTTTTTTGGAGTGTCAGAAGAAATGAAGACTCACATTAAAATCTGAAAAGGGTAGTTTAAACTTAACTGGCTCCAGTGAGCTCCAGGCACCCTTGTTTTCCACTCATGTTGGCTTGAGAAACGTCTTCCTCCTGTAATGCTGCACGTCTCCGTCAAAGGCTGTGCCAGTCCATATGAACTGCCCTTTATAATGGCAGAAATGCCATTAATGGAATAAAATGCTCCACTTGTTGTTTTGGAACAGCTAGTTTTTGTTCCATCACCTTACATCAGAGCTTCTTGAGAATTACGTAGGTCCTCAGTCAGACCTTTTTCAGAAGCTCTGTTAGAACTGCAGGCTGACTTAGTACACTTGTTTGGGCAGCAAGCTAGAGTTTTGAATGACACAATCATAGAAATGCACTTTTAATGTAATCTACTATTAAAACCTACTGCAGACTCTAAAAATAAAATTTTGTCATGGAACAGAAGAGCAATCCTGCGTGCAAACATATTGATGTTTTTCTACTATTGTAGACCTTTGTCGTCCACATAATCAGTAGAAAATCTCTGCACTAGTAGACAGGCAATGCAAATGAGACTCTGTCATGTTGTTACTGGGTCATTGAAATTTGACCATAATTGTAGTTTAATGGCCACCAGGAAACCCATCATTCTGTTTGAGAGTCTGGACTTTGGCTTCCATATATTTACACACACACACACTGTTCCCTCCGACAAACACATATGACATATGCATTTTGGACTGAAACCCCTACTGGGGACAGCTGTATGTCCAGATTCTCAGTATTTAAAATGAATTATTGTTAAACTGATTTTTTTGGAACTGAGTAAGCATGACCATAAGAGGTTCTCTGGATCTCAGCTCTGTCACCATGTAGCATCTGTGCCATTTCAAAGGGTCGGGACCAAAATAAACCAGCTATGCAATTGAAGAACAGGACAGATTTAAATCAGTGACACATGAAATTCCACTTCACACAGTATTCAATGAGAGTATTCAAAATCCTCAGGTGAAAACATTGTTTTCCCAGTTGATTATTAGAGCCCTGATTGGGTTATGTATTATAGCATTATGGATTTCCTGACATTTCATCACTTGTTTCAACCATAACTTTTATTGAATACAGTTGCTCACAGTTGCTTTTTAAATTATTATTAGAATAATAACAATTCTGCTGCATTAAATCACCTGCTTAAAAGACACCCCATTTATTTGTTGTAAATGGTTAGAAACTACAATTAAGGAAGATTTATGCTGTCTACTAAGGGGCCGTTCACACAGAATGCATTTTTACATTCCACTGCACTGCTTTTCCATGATTTCTCCATGTAAACATGCACTAGACGGGTGTGATTGACTATTGTGTTTGTGTCTTTTGCAGCTTGTTGTGCATGACACAGTGTTTCAAAAATGGGCTTAAGTTAAAAGTAGTTTAACATGGAAAAAAACAACAACAACATCTCTAGACCTTCCGGATCATTAATTTTATGAATTAAAGCATTAACTGAAATATATACTTAATATATACAATATTTTATTGAAATATATATAAAAAAATCTCTCGTTTTCATTAAGTTGAAGTACTAAAATAACTAAAACATAATAAAAAACAGACATATTACAAAAAACCACAAAATCATCAAATTCAAAATGTATTAACTAATACTATAATAGTACCAAATGATACTAAAATAACAGTGGATTATGTAATTCTTTTTATTAAAATGAATCAATTGGCAATCCTAGTAAAATACACCTGATCCTTTTCCATCCTATTGGTTTTCTGTTTTTTTCTATCCTAATAGCCTCTCTCATAAAAATGGTAATGTTTTATAATACTTTTTCCACATCTTTTGTTCAGTTCCATTTGTTAAGATGACTGTCTGTCAAAATGGTAGTGATTATTATTAAGATTAAACAGTCTCATCCACAGTAATGTTATGCAATCCCTCAGTTAAATCATAATTTCTTCAGGGTAAGGTGGCCAAAAGTAATTTTGCAGAGTTGATTCTGTGAAATGAGATGCTGTTTTTTTTTAGGATAAACTATATCCATATGCGGCCCATCACAGATTTTAACTGGAATAGACAAAGTACATTACAGTGGCACATGTGAACTGCGACTTGCTGAAGGACATCCGTAAAAGACGAAGTCCAAACACATGATGTTCTCTTAGACTTTTTTCTTTCCATTTGGTAGACTTTTTTGAATATATTTTAATCACACATGGTTTGTAACGTGTTTTGCATGCAGCACATCATCACAGTCCAATTCACCAGCAATCCTGAATTGTATCCTGAAGTTTCTGTCAAAAACAGATGATAGCATCATATTAAATAGTTGTTGTGATTGGCCTGCAGGTGGCTGGAGGTGGGTGGTGTTAACCTGACCTGTACGCAGTATTGGGTGATTTATCTGCGGGTGCTGCAGGAGGCCATCTGGCCTGGAGGAAGTCTGCCGGCTCAACCGAGACCCCAACGCAGCCAGCAGCAGAAAGACGAGAGCAGAGCGCAGGCTCTGCAGTGCCTTATGAAACTACTGCCAGGTGAGACACCACATAATATGTATATATAAACATGTTCAAAAGTTCAAAAGTGGAATTTTGTTTTAAAGAAATTAATGCTTTTATTCAGCAAATACACATTAAATTGATACAAAGTGGCAGCAAAGACATTTGTAATTTCTATTCATCAAAGAATCCTGAAAAATAAATCATGGTTTCCACAAAAATATTAAGCAGCACAACTGTTTTCGACATTGATTATAATAATAAATGTTTCTTGAGTGCCAAATTAGCATATTAGAATGATTTCTGAAGGATCATGTGACACTGAAGTCTGGAGTAATGACTACTGACTACAGCTTGTCATAAATTACATTTTAAAATGTAATAAAATAGAGAACACTTTTTGTAAATTGTAATAATATTTTACAACATTACTGTTTTTATTGTATTTTACTCAAAAATGTAGCCTTTATTGAGCATAAGAGACTTCAAAAACAGAACAAAATCTGTACCAAGGTTATTACAGTTAACTAAAACTGAGCTAAAACTAAAACCATAAAAAATGTTGCTTAAAAAAATAGAAAAACTTTATTTCAGCTAATTGCCGAGGCAACATGTTAGTTTAACTTGATGTACTAAAATAACCAAAAAAAAAAAAAAAAACTAAAAATTAAAAAAATTCAAATTTTTTTACTTTAACTTAAAGCATTAAAAT